AGAAAATTATTAAAATACCGGCAGTTTTTAAGATAACGAAGAAAATGCAGCAACAGCGCAATCAGCTCGGCAATCAGCTGTTCATTACTTTGGTCGCACTTAAAGCAGAAGGCAATAAGTACGTAATAACAAGGTGAAAATGAACTCTAATCCTGTAAACACCTGAACTTGTTGTCCGAGCGATTTTTAAAAACGAGATGTCTTTCGATATATATTTTAAAGAAAAGAAAAAACAAAATAAAAACATTATCAAACTAATGTTACTTTCTTAATTTAGAATGTCGAATAAAGCTCCGTGAATTTTTTTCAACGTTTTAAATAAAAACTCGCGTTGGACGTAAATGTCAGAGTTTAAAGGATTGAGGTTTTCAAAAAATGTTTCTCATTCCTCATTCCGCCTCTTATTAACAAAATCCCAAACCTTCTTAACTCGTTCTTTTCTCAATTCAATTCAACTCGTCAATATATATCGGAAGAACTCGGATGTATACGAGAGATCTGAGTGCGCGGATACAAAGATGCTAGACGGGCAACGGCAAAAGAAATACGGAGACGAGATTCGAGAAATTCTCGAAATTTTCCGGCGCGAGCCTTTTATTCTCATGTGAATTCCGGTTATATGTTACGTGCTGCGAGGTCTCGTGAGCGTGGGTGCTCACGGGGGTGCTCTTGAAAACTCGACGGCCGGGATCGGGATTCGATCTGAATAAGCATTCGAGTTTAAGTATTGGAGAAATCTTCGCTTCCTCTCTCTCTCTTTTTGGGTCATAGAAATAGTTTTCTACTATTCATATGTATATCTCCTCACCCTCCTGAGTTTCCGTCATATATGCTCGCTCGCTGGATCGATCGGCGATTGCATTCAGGCCATTTATTCTCCCACACGATTCCCAGGAGATATTACTCGCGATAAATGCGAAATGATTAATAATTACGTCGGCATCGATCATTTTTCGTATCTTTTACCGATCTATAGGGTATATTGAATTCCGAATACATACACACCTCGTAATTTTTCAATACTCGACTTGCTACGCTGACCTTATTCCCAAATCCTCTTTACAATGTTTTTATCTGTGTGTGTGTGTGTGTGTGTGTGATAACACTTTAAATAGTCGTGTGTCTCTATTGCCTCAGCGATAAAAAAAAAAAAAAAAAGAAAGCAATCGATGTGGATCATTTAAAAAAAAGTAAATTTATAAAAGTGGATAACTGTACGAAGACAAACAACTACAAAAAAATAAAAGAACAAAGATGACATAATTTCATCGTATTTCGAGACAAGAGAAACGGATAAGGACATTTTGTAATAACCGTAATAGCCGTAAATAGGAGCAACGATATGAGATAAATTTCAAAAGTGGATTATTAAAAGACACGATGCTCTCGAGTAGCGGGAATAGCACGGCCATTGAAAAAATAATGAACATTTGAACGAGCGACGAGTGCTATTACATACAACAAACGTGGCGGAACGTGAATATAACGTGGGAAAAAAAAAAAAAAAAAAAAAAAAAAAAAAAAAAATGAATTAACGAGAATTAACGGGAATGATCGAAAGCGAAACGATAATAAAAAGTGAATGCGTGTGAAATTGTGTAGGAAGTGAGTTTTCTTATCGGAACTTTGTACGTGTGGAATCCTCGTCTCGTCGTTCCCGATCCATAGCATTCGCGCGAACTGACGGCTTCTAATATCCTTCGCGGATGCGATATGCAAACGTAACCCACATTCGGCAGTAGGTACGTAAATATTTATCGTCCCGGATCCTACATAGCTCGCAAACTTAATGAACTGCCATGCTAATCTAGTCTGCCGGCATAATGAGAACCCGTTTCGCAGTCATTGTTCTGTCACGTGAAAGTTGTTAGTTCGACGAATTAACGCGTCGTTGTTACATACGGTTAACGAAAGGGCTTTTATTACAGGACGTCATTATGCAGATACATGATGTAAGTAAAGAAAGGGAAAGAGGAAAGAGAGAGAGAGAGAAAATTATCGTAAAAAAACAAGTGTATTATTGCAAGTTTTATACGTAAACATTATTCGCTAAAAACCAGGTTTATATTAATCGAAACTTTAAAAGAAATCATTTTTCACATGGCTCAACAAATGATCCTTGTAACTTAATAATTTATTGTTGCTTATTTATTTTTTATTGTCATTTACTTTCTATAAATATCAAATTCTATTTTAAAAAGTTCAAATTAAAAAGAAATAATTAAAACTTTTTTATTAAGTTTTTAAAAAATACATTATTTACAAATATATATTATATAAAATATCGTAAAAAACAGTTGTTGATAATTGTCAAAATTTTTTTACCGAAACGAACAAGAGTTTGGCGATATTTTGTTCTATTTTATTCTTCCAATGTCACGCAATTCAGGTAATGTTAAAAATTCACAAGTTTTAACAAAGTAAAATTTAATAATTTTTTTTTCACGAAGTGGTGGCAATTTGAAACGTGACAGTTTACATTTTCAGTAACAAAAAGCGTTAAAAAAGGTTTTTTTAACATATAATAAAATCGTTAAAAAAATTCGAAACAACACCGCACGATAAACAGTTGTGTTGTATTGTTTTCGCGTGATGTATTGTACTTGTTAGAATCTGAGGGTTAACGGTGACTAATCGAGAAATTATCAGAAACTACGTTCTCGCAAAATGTGTGTTCAAAAATTCTCAAATTAAATGTTTTTTTGTTCGAAAACGTGTATCTCTGTTCGATAAAAATTGAAGTCGAGATTTCGCGATACCGGCGCGCGCGAATTCCGTTGGGGAAACAACGACCGATGAAAATTTGGGCTCGTATTTTACGACGATGCAATAACGCGAACGATATCGATGACGATTCGCCGCGATTTTAATCGGTCGCTTTACGAGCTCGTAAAATATGACATTAATTTCTATTACGGGCACTAAAACGGCGATACAAAAAGTCATCGTTGATTTTGCCGATTCAGTCGGAATTGTCATATCACCGCTTACATAATTAGGCAGCTTGAGCAAAGTCAACGCGAAACCAAGCGAAACCCGAAATTGTGTGCTGCGTTTACATATGGCGAGGAATATCAGAGATGAGATAAGAAATACGTGAAATATGGCAGAATTTTATATGAGAGACATTTAGAGATGCACACAGTGCAGATCTTTTTCTTCTTCTTCTCTTATATCATTTTCTTATATAGTAAAAGCTCCGGCAGAGATTACGATCTGCATCTCATCTCTGCGCCGAGTGTGTTTTACGTCTTAATAAATCCCGTCGCAATGCACATGCAATATATATATATATATATATATATGAATAATCTAATAAATTCCAAAATGGTCTCTTTTCTCTCTCTCTCTCTCTCTCTCTCTCTCTTTCTCTCTCTCTCTCTCTCTCTCTTTCTATCTATCTATCTATCTATCTATCTATCTATCTATCTCTGTTTATCAGCAAAGTTAATCGAAATGAAAGTGCAATTTGTATTTTCTCGTAACAAGAGAAAGAAGAGCTTTTATCGAAGAGGGCGTCAATGCGTCACTTGAGGAGCGAGATACGATAGCAGAAAATCTCGAGTCTCGAGTGCCGCCTTGGCACGTTTCCAATCTTGTCGTGCGAACGAACGAAGATCCCGCTATTGCGGGTGGTCTTCTTAATTAACTTGTTTCGTCGCGCACTTGACGCATGCGAAGGACATAAAGATGTGCCGTCAACAAATCTGCGCGCATTAATCTAACGTGCTCAATTTCTGTTTTCTCATCTTAAATTGATCGCGAAGCGAATCAAGAGGCACGGTAGTGCCTCGCGCCAAATTCACGCGCAACAAAGTAGCGCTCGAACTGCGTGAGCATACTGTGCCTCTTATACGCGAAAATCAGGCGTTTCAATGGAGAGGAGATTTTTAATCAGCCTTTTATTCATTAACGACTAAACCGATCGACTTTTTTTTAGTCTCGTTTGATTCACGTTGAAAAAATAAAAAAAAAGTATTGTTGCGTTTTTGTTGTTTGTTTCTGATTGTTCGAGATATACGACGATAAAGTTTCGAAGTGAAAAATTTACGATTCACAAACGTCGCGCGACCAAATTGTGTGCATGTTCGTATGTCTGCTGCCAGATGGCATACATATATGAGCGCGTTTGAGACAAAAAAGAAAAAAAGACAGGAAGTGTGAGTTAGAGAGAGAAAAAGAGAATCACGAAGCACAGTAGTGGTTTGCGTTATTCGCGTTGGCAACACCTCCGATATAACTTTTTTCAATAAACTGGTTTGAAATTTTACACAAAATAAGTACAAATTATATACTTTAACTTTCTGTATATATATCACCGTAGTATATCACGTGACCGAGGTCAGTGACCTCGGCGCTGTCACGTGACCGGAGTCAGCGATCTTACCGTAGTATATATAAAGTAAAAAAGTAAAAATTAATAAATTACAAATTGATTTAATATTACAAAAACTTCTTTTTTTTATAAAACTTGGTTTACAAAAGTAAAGAATACTACAAAATACCAAATGTGTGATATCTCGAAAACTTATCTTTTCCAAAAAGATAGGAACGCGTTGAAAGTTCAACGCGTAACAAATTTTCTTGCTGATTTTATAGTTTCTTTTTGTTATGTTTAGCTTTTTACCGCGTATATTTAAAAAAAAACGAAAAATACAAATATTATTTTAAGAAATTTTTTGTTATACACACACTCTTTGTTGTGTAATTGAAAATAATTTCTCATATTAAACTGCACAATGTGCGCGTTGTCTTTGTATCTATTTGTACATACACGGACAAATAACTCGCCGGAAAAAATGACGTGCGATAAATAAATTAAATCCACTTTTGATACGATGTATGTCGTGTTGTTATCAAAACTTACGTTATAATCGAGACACTTTTTTTTATCACCTCTACTACGTATTATAGATAAAAAATTATGCAATAGAGATAAGAGATTCTGAAGCGCTTCTTTGTAATCTAATCTTATTTGTCGTCATTGATTTGTGTTTCAGATTGTCATGCAGTAGCCATGGCCTTTGGTTTTGTAAGAAGAAACGAGTTTTCATAGATCAAATCGATCTTGTGCTGCTTTTGTTTGCGCGAGAATAACCGACAATCACGAGTTTCCTGACAAAGAGATAGAGAAAAGGATAACGAAATCTTCGAAGGAGAGACGCGAAAAACCCGACGAAAAAAGTGGAGATAAACGTATAAGGTAAAAATTCTTGTCGCGTATGCCCACGTTGACTTGTTTCACAGATACAATTGTCTGTTGGGAATCGTACAATTGAAAACATGTGCAACCAGACGAACGTGATCGGATCTTTTTGATTTCCATAAGATTTATCTCTTTATTTATTTTTAATATATTTCGTGCAATAATTGAAATTGAATATATAAAGAAAATACGACTGCTGTAAGTGCCAAGCGCTTGGCGACGTGTTTGTTTTGAACGCAAATCAATTTGTGTATTACACTTAAAAAAAGCTTTGTGTAATTTTTATCTTTTCTGCGTAAAAGATAAAACACATTGATAAAACCAAACGTTTTATATGCAAAACTACATCGATAATAATTCGCAAAGAACAAATACGACCGTTCAATTCAGACGGAGCGCGTTCCGATTGAATGATTCGCGTTGCGGGAACAAATTTTATCCCTCATTATCTCCATTTGGGTCGCGGGTGCTAAACGCGTTCTTGTTCAAAGCGTGTCAGAGCTCTCTCTCCCTTAGATCTGTCGGTTATCCCAAATCCGCGGCTCGTTTCGCCATAATGGACTGCTTCTATCGGATCGCATCAGCGAGATTTTTACACGGGACAACGCGCGCGCGCATATTCCGGTACTTATCACTTTCTTTAGTTCTCTGTGTTGGTAGCATCGAGCCAAATGGAGAGCTCTCCACAGCGATCTAAAAATAGTTTTCGCTTGGATGGAAAAATACCTCCCTTGCACCCTTTTAGGACAAAGGACGAGAAAGATTTTTCGTGTCGTGAGCTGCACCGCGCGCGAAAAATGTGACGACGTAATAATCGCGTGGCCATGATCGATGGCAGTTCGCGAAAAGAAGCGCCGTGATACACGAACGTGGATAAATTGAAAGAGTAGGATGGGGAAGTCTTTGTGCGGCGAAAGAGATTTATCCGATTAATCTTTTTGCGAATTCAGCGCAAAATGTAACGGAAAATCTATGCTATTGAAGCTGCTCTTTCAAAGGTTTACTTAACTGTTTCGATATTTTTGCAAGAACGTAATTTTGAACAGCTCGTCATTAGTAGCCTTCAATTGAATTACGTATCTTTTGACATATGTGAAAATTTGAAAAAAAAAATATGTACAAAATATAAGTTTGTTCAGGACAAAATGTCAAATTAGACAATTAACGTAAAATATTGTTTTTTTATTATAAGAACTCAAATTCAGATTTCCTGAAATTAGATCTTTGTCAGTGAAAATTTAAATAACACGAGATAATTACCAGCAACAATTAATAAAAGAAATTTTTTAATATTAAGCATAATGGAAACTCACTAAAAATAAATTAAAAAATCGACATCAGTAAAATTATCGAGAAAATTATTTTCGAGAACTATATTTGTACAGAAGTGTGTCTGTATATTTATACTGCCAGTGTGTTTGAGAAAAAAACGTTGTCATATATTTATTAAAGAAATCTTGACCGTGGCAGAGTACCCTGATGACGATGTCAGCAGAATCCTAGTTTTAATGTGTTCTAAGCGGAATACATAATACTTCAATTTTTTTGCTGATACTAGTCAATACGGTTGAGACGGTCTCTGGTTTTTTTTAGACGTTACATCGCGGCGATCGAAATAGCTGTTTCCAGCTTTATCATTAGTGCTGATAAACATATTGGGATTTGTGTCACAGCAAACTAGAAATTAACTTGTAAACAGATTGCGTCACGCGAATGTACGAGGAACTGCACTTGGATAACGTGTTACATAAACAATTGTGCCGATCGATGTTTCTTACTTACGGAAACTCGTTTCTCTCTCTTACCGTGTGACTGGCGTGTATGTAAGAGCGCTCGTTTTTTTTATATCACTTTTTATCGTGACGTCTCAAAGTCTGTGCGCGCGCGATATCTGCCGTCTCAAGGTTTCCGCTGTATTTTGCATACGCATAATAGATGAGTAACGCATTCCGAGCGTCTCAAACGCGTCTTGCAGTATTTACAAAGACGCCGCCGGAATTTACCGCCGAGGGGGGAGGAGGAATATCCCTCAAAAAATTCGCGATTCGTATGAAAAAAATGTTGCGGATACGTAGAATAATTCACAATCCGTGTATATACACAGTTTGTCCTCGTGCGCACGTGCGCTCTATTGGCTTTCAAAGATACGATGACATTTGACATTCAAGCCGAAAGGACATTTCTATATTTTCCGTATATTGCTTAGTAATAATAGGTTGAGAAAATGTGTGGGGAATGAAATGTCTCCGATAAAAACGTAGACTATCTCGATAGAGACACTGAGAATATTTTTTCCGCGAAGAGAGAAATCTCAGAAATCTCGAATCTCACAATTTTCGAACAAAAAGAAATGTATGAAAATTTCTGATTGTTATTTAAAATTGGGGACAGCTTTAGAAACATTTTTCTACGTACTTTATTTTGTTTACGTTTTCTACGTACTTTATTTATTATATTTTAGTTTATATTTTAGTTTTTTTATTGTTGTGTCTAGTTTAGTTTAGTTTAGTTGTTTAGTTTTTTGCGCTGTTGCGTAATTGCGATTGTGATATACATCCGCGAACAATATTTGTACCAACAAACAACTATGAGAACACAGTTGGAAATGCGTGTTTTTTCATCATTAACGGAAAAACCAACTTTCTGACACCTAGCGCGTTTAAAATTCCTCTTTAATTATGATCATCCGCTGAAACAACGAGAGAGCGTTCCAGTTGGCAGCCGGCGATGTAAAACTGCGGCCCGCGGGGATTTTCCTCCGTTAATTGATACCTGGCCACACTGTCAGGTAATGGATTTAATCCTCATTAACGTGTTCAAAAAGGAGGCTTCGGAGAGAGATCCTTTATTGACAATCTGCCGACTCGTTACAAGTCTTCTTTTGTTACGTTCGTGGGCAACGTTCTACTTCGACTGTGCCGCGTTATCGTCTATTCTCTATTTCAGAGCTATCTATCAGAAATTTCACTATAAATGTGAGTCCAGCAATTTATTCGTAACACGAAAAAAAGACAATATTCCTCTGATGTCACCGTGCTATCGTTCTTCTAACGAAAGCTTCTTTGACGAAGTTTAATTTTTGTTTATTTTGTTTTCGCGTGGCTGTGTATAATTACACATATTTAAATTTAATTAAATAAGAATTGATATTGTAAATTGCTATTCAATTGTTTTAAAAAGAGAGTATTATGTATTTTTTTTCATATTTCCGACATTCAATACGTATCAAGTATCTTTTGCGGTGGTAACTTGATATCACAAATATGCGCTAAAGAGAGATATTAGCTAGAAAATAAAATAAAAAATTGTACGACTCGGTGTGGTTTTCATTTCGAGTCATAAAACGTAGAAAACAGCTTTGTATATTACGTGCAATATATATGTAAATATATATGCAACATATATGTAAATATATCGGTTGCTGTGCTATCGTGTCCGCGCGCACGTTTTAAGCGATTGATAAATTGGACAAAATGTCCCGAAAACTTATGAGGTTTTATACGTTTCTCACTGTCGGCGGAATTGATCCTCCTCGAGAGTCAATGAAGAGAAGCGAAGTAATAAAATCGTTCAGTCGGAAGGAAACGAGAGATGACAATTTTAACGACTTTTAATATAAAGATATAAAACGCGTTGCTAAACGAGCTATTCGATACGCGATATTGTGTAAATTTTAACAACTCTATAGTGTGTAAGAGAACACACTAAAACATACACATACAATATGATGATGCTTCAATTATTAGGCGCTCCGGGAAAGTTCCTTCGCAACCATAAACAAACAGAGAAGTCAGAATTAAAATAACAAAAAATAATGGAAAAATGTGGTAGAATGAGTATGAAATGACAAAAAAAAAATAAAAGAGAAAGAGAAAGAAAATAAATGGAAAACGACAGGCGCAAAAATAGCGAACGAAAATCAGAAACTTTGTAACGAGAAAATAATTGAACATTTATCAGTCGCAAGAAGATCTGTCTCGAACGGAGAGCGTTTATAAACACTTGTATTTTAATCAGCGAGCGCCTTTCAATTCAATGCGATCTGTGAGTCGGATTAACCTCGTTAATTAGTTGCTCGTTGTTTCGTTTAATCGCGTCGCGTGAGTTTTTTTTTATATTGTAATCGTCTAATTCCAATTGTTTTGCGCGTATGGCGATGCAGCGGCTTATTTATGCTAAAAGCGACGTTAAGCAATCGTCAAGGCGATACGTGCCTGTATGCCTCGATGCGTACGTGCGAATGGGAAGCGCATACTGGGATGTTTCATAGACAAATAAGTATGCGATTAAGGCGCTCGGTGAGGGAAACTGCTCGAGCACACTGCTCATCGGGAACTTCACTTCGTTCTCGCCTGTTGAATATTAAATCGATTATTGAACACGCTACCGACTATCCGAAACTTGAATCGATGTGACATAATTTCGTCAATCAATGCTCATCGTTTATTGCTCCCCCGATGCGTAACTGCCGAGTGAGCTTAATCGTGAAAAGATTTTAATTGAATTGGATTTTCAACAAGTCGAGTCCTTTTCACAGTCGAGGGTCTTTTGAAATAAATTTGATTTAAAACTGCGAGTTTATATCGCGCAACAGAAATTTCATACCGCCTCTAGGAGAAGCGCGCGCGCGCGCGCGCACTGCACGCGTGCACACGCACGCACAGTTTTTTAATAACGCGAAAAAGTTCATTTAATTAAACGGCACGGTATTTATACAACCAAATGACGACTCTCTTTCCGCGAGATTCTTTAGATAAAACAAAACGCACTGTAATCGTGAAATTAAAACAAAATTTTAATACACTTCTGTATTTTTTAACGCGTTTATTAAAAAGTTGAATATACGTGGACGGCGTTTTGCACACACACACACACACACAGTTGAGGAGATCTGATTTTTCGCGTTTTCCTCTTTTCGCAAATTCAATTATCTCCCTGCTAATAATCCTCCGACCGGCAGCAGGTGAGCAAAATATAAAAGCACAGAACTTTATTTC